TCCCGGTCAAGCAGAAGAAAAGATATCTGTCCACGGACAGAAAAGAATTTGTGAGGAAGGAGGTGAAAACCCTTTTGGAGGCCGGCCACATTAGGGAGGTCCAATATCCCAAATGGCTCGCCAATGTGGTGCTGGCACCAAAAGGGGACACCTTTCGCATGTGTGTGGACTTCACTGACCTCAATAAGGCATGTCCTATGGACCCCTTTCCCCTACCAAGAGTAGATCAACTGGTAGATGAAACGGCGGGCCATGAACTATTGAGTTTTATGGACGCCTTCCGAGGGTACCATCAAATTTTCATGGACAAAGATGATGCGGAATCCACAGCCTTTATCACCCCTGAAGGAGTATATTGTTACGTGGTCATGCCTTTTGGGCTGCGTAATGCGGGGGCCACATTTACGAGAATGATCTCTTTATTATTCAAGGAGGTCCTGGGACAGATCATGGAGGCTTATGTGGATGACCTATTGATCAAAAGTAAGCAAGCAGCGGACCATCCTCAGCACTTGGAGAAATGCTTTAGCATCATGAGGAATCATAATTTGAGATTGAACCCCAAAAAATGTGCCTTTGGGGTCCAGGGAGGAAAATTCCTTGGTTACATGGTGAGCAAGAAAGGGATTGAGGTCAATCCGGACAAGTTGAAGGCCATCCAAGACATGGAACCACCAACGAATTTGAGGGAAGTCCAGAGATTAGCATGGAGGATAGCGGCCTTAGGAAGGTTTTTGGCACGGTCCGCGGAGCGGTCCCTGCCCTTTTTCACGATTTTAAAGGGAGGGGGAAACTTCTAGTGGACCGCAGAGTGCCAAGAGGCCTTTGAACACTTGAAGGCATATTTGAGCTCTCCACCGGTCCTCTCCAAGCCATTGGCAGGGGATGTCCTTTTCTTATACTTGGGGGTGGCCCACCTGGCAGTGAGTTCGGTCCTCTTGAGGGAAGAAGGAGTCCAAAAGCCAGTTTATTACACGAGCAGGGCTTTAATAGGACCGGAAACAAGGTACACTCCCTTGGAAAAATGTGTTTTGGCGGTGGTGGTGACTATCAAGAGGTTAACTCCCTATTTCCAAGCTCACCCAGTGAGAATCATGACGGACCAGCCTTTGGGAGCAGTTTTGAGGGACCCATCTTCTTCAGGAAGGGTCATTAAGTGGGCCATGGTCCTCTCTCAATATGATATTTCTTACCAGCCCCGTTCTAGCAAGAAGGGCCAGGTCATTGCAGATTTTATGGTGGAGTGCACAGCAAGAGGGAAGCCAGAAGAGGATGGGACCGGTGAGGAGAGAAAAAGGGAATTATGGGAGGTCCATTCAGATGGATCCTGCACTAAGGACGGTTCAGGAGGAGGAGCGGTCCTCACCTCCCCTGAAGGTTTCAAGGCTTATCATTCCTTTAAGTTCACATTTCGGGCCACCAACAACGAAGCAGAATATGAGGCCCTCATTGGAGGAATCCAAATTGCCCTATTCATGAAGATAAAGCACATTCGCCTTAAATCCGATTCAAAATTGGCCATTGGGCAGCTAAAAGGAGAAATGGAGGCCAAGGAAGGAAGGTTGAAGAAGTACAGGTACTGCGCCAGGACTCTACTTGGACAATTTGAGTCTTATGAGCTCATATATGTTCCAAGAGAAGAGAATGAAGAGGCGGATATGCTTGCTAAATTATGTAGGACCATTCCCATCCGCATGGAGGGTATTGTAAGGCAGCACGAGAGGATCTGTCCTGTTTGGGAATAGGCGGTCCCTGTCCTCGAAATATCCGGTCTAGGTACAACTTGGATGAGCCCCCTGATCACATACCTTGAAAAGGGAGAGCTCCCTGTTGACCCCAAGGAGGCCCGCAGAGTTCAATTAATGGCTCCCAAATATCAATTGGATGGGGAAAAATTGTATAAAAGGACCTTGGGAGGGCCGATGCTCAAATGCTTGAGTGAGAGAGAAGCAAGAAGAATATTGGAAGAAGTACACCAAGGAGTCTGTTCTGCCCATCAAGGAGCCCTTACTCTAGCGAGAAAGGTGATACTCCAGGGGTTCTATTGGCCCACCTTGAAGAAGGATGCGCTGGAGTTGGTGAGGAAATGCCCAACTTGCCAAGCATTTGCACCAATCCCTGGACGCCCATCCACCTTTTACACCCCTGTCACTACAGCCATCCCTTTTGCTAGATGGGGGTTGGACTTGGTGGGTCCTTTCGTCCAAGGGGCTGGAAGGAAGAAATTTGCCATTGTGGCGATAGATTACTTCACCAAGTGGGTCGAAGCAGAGGCCCTTGTGAAGATCACGAAGGAGAATTTCCGTAAGTTTGTGTGGAAAAATTTATTATGCAGATTCGGTGTTCCTGAGCAAATCATAACGGACAATGGAACCCAATTTGCCAGCACAAGTTTCAAGGAATTCTGTTATGCGTGGAAAATTAAACTCAGTCGGGCCGCCGTAGCTTACCCGAAATGCAATGGGCAAGTAGAAAACACCAACAGGACGATTGTAGCCGACATCAAAAAGAGACTGCACGAGTTGGGAACGTCCTGGGTAGAAGAGCTATCCTATGTGTTGTGGGCCCATAGGACCACCCCAAGGAGAGCCACAGGAGAGACTCCCTTTGCCTTGGCTTATGGCTTTGAGGCAAAGGTACCTACGGAGGTCTTGGTCCCTAGCACAAGGGTGGAAGCATACACTCCAAGCCTCAATGAGCAATTGATGGAAGTGGACTCCCATTTCACTCAAGAAAGGAGGAACGACGCGGCAATGAAGGCGGAGGAGTACCAACGGCAATCCAAGAGGTATCACGACAAAAAAGCTGTACTTCGGGCGTTTGAAGTAGGAGATTGGGTCCTATGTAAAAGGGAGAAAAGTCAGCCCACTAAAGGAGGAAAATTAGCCCAGAATTGGGAAAGACCGTATCGTGTGGAGAAGGTGGTGCGTACAGGCACCTATCAGTTGGCTACATCGGAAGGGAAGGCATTGGACAATTACTGGAATGTGGAGCATCTCAAAAAATTCTACCAGTAAAAGCTATATGTTCAAGGTTCCGTCCTCCCATAATTTTTCAAGCCTCTTTTTTTTAAAAGTTTTCTTTTTCCCTTTTGTTCAAAGAGAATGGATTATACTGTGCTTAATATGAAGAAGAAATTTTCCATTCATCGTCAATTGTTCCAGCCCATGAGATATTAAAAAAAAAGAGGTGACAAAGAGGTGACAAAATCAGTAAAAAATACAGTCAGGAGGGAGGCATACAAAGAGGACCGATCCTTACAAAGAGGTGACAAAATCAATACAAAGGCACATGAGGACCGTTCCTAAACAAACTACAATAGTGACTTGAGAATTCAGGGCGAAGGAGAGGAAAGAAGGAAAGAAGGCGCTGGTCCCATGGGTCCTGGGACCCCTGGAAACTTCAGCCAAGGATCTAGTCCATCAGAGTAAGGCTCCAGTCCACCATAAAATTTGTCTTGGACCTCCAAACCTCCACGATAGAAGCCCCGGCCATAGTCCGAAATGCGATCGACCTCCATCCGAGCCATATGTCCCTCATATATGAGACGCTCGTTCTCGAGCGAGCGACGGGCCTCATCAAGGGAACTCCGAGCTGAACGCCTCTCCTCCATAAGGGTCAGGTTTAGCTCGTTGACCCGTTGAGAAAGTTGACGTTCCGTTTCTTCATGTTGGAGGCGCCACCTCTGTTCGACCTCTTCCGCCGCCTTCCTCGCTTCCTCCTCGGATCGACGACGCCACGTTCGCTCCAGCTCCTCCTCTGATCTCCTTCGGTGAAGTTCTGCCTCCTCTCGAACTTGCAATTCACGCTCTCTGACCTGCCGCTCCAAGTCCCTCCTCAGGAATTCTATCTCCTTGAGGTCGTGAATCCGGTTTAGATCACGTTGCCCGACCTTGGCCGCAAGTCGCTCACGGTCCGAGTGGAGCTGATCATTCTCGGACAAAACCCGATCATATTCCGGACGCTCAACGCAAATAGAGTGCCGAGATTTGAAATCCCTCAGCTCCTTTGATAAAGCAGCATTGCGATCCAATAAGCGAAGGGAATGGCGCTGAGTAGAGGAAGTGGCAACATAATCGGCCTGTCAAAAGAGGAAGGCAGCAAAAGTTAGCAGTCCTAAAGGGCATAAAAAAGTAAGTGAAATACTTAGAAGAAGGAGGGAAAGGACACTGACCATACGAGTGTACTCCTCCTGCATAAATGGCCAGGCCGGGCTGTGGACCACGTCAGGATGGTTCCTCTTGAGCTGTTGTATTTCTTGAAGCTTGTTGTTGAAGTCCCGTCCTACCCAGGACGTGTATCCTGTGAATTGATAGGCCTCCCGGGCATAGGGAAAGGGTTGACCCCCTTGCCCAATGAGAAACCCATCATCGGCGGTCCCCATGGGAGGACAGGCGGACACCAGAGAACCAGGGAGAGGGGTGGAGTTCCGGCCCCTCTTGTGGCGGACCTGAGAAGAAGAGGAGGACCCGGTCTCCTGAATTGATGGACCGGGGATGGCAGTGGGACGGATGGAGGAGGGGACAGTGGCCTTCCCAAAACTGGAGGACCGAATTAACTCCTCCGTCTCCAAAAAAGATTGATGGATATTTGTTCCGGGGAGAGGAACGTCGCCATGACCAAAGGGAGTCCCAAAAATATTCTCCGCCGCAGAATTTGCAAAATTAAGGATATTGGACGTTTGGGGTTGGGAAATTGCTTCGTCCCCCCCACAGCTAGAGGAGGGGGAATATTCCCAAGGAGATTCCGTGCTGCACGGAATCCCAATCCCGGCCACCTGAACGTGAGGCGGCTCAAGGGACCCTTACGAACCAATGGCGCGCCCTGTCAGAAGGGGTCCACTGGTTTGGGGGTGGAAACCTAGTGGGCCCATGGGCTGAGCCGAAGAAGAAGTTCCCCTGCCAAAGAGAGGAGTGTGAGGAACGCGCCCCTATTCCGGCCTGTGGGAGTCCCAGGGGCCTCCCTTCAGCATCTCCGGTAGTAGAAGCCTCTGCAGGAGTTGGTGGTGGAGAAGGCTTTCCCCTCCAACGTGGGCAAGCGCCAGAGATAGGGCCCCCGTCGCGGACTCTACTTCCTCGCCCTCGGTGTCCTCCTCCGGGGAAGGATCCCTTCGAGAAGATCGCCGGCGGAGTTGAGTGTTCCTGAAAGGAGGAACCCAAGAGGAAGTTGTGTCTCCCGACGGCTCTTGAGGAGGAATATCGGGAGACACCCAGAATCCGAGACCCCGAAAATACGAGTCCTTGAGGAGGAGCGCGCGGGGGACCGGATAGCCATTCTTGCGAAGAAGACGGAAGACCCCCTCGAGCTCCGAGTCGCGAGGGGGAAAAAGGTGAGAAGGGAACTTATCTTCCTTCTTCCGCCACATGTTGGGGAAGGGAAGATCTTCGGGAACTACCACCACAAAGAAGCGGCGGAACCAATCGTCAAGTTTGTCGACCGGGCTATCCAAAAACTGCATATTGGTCCGGGCCGTGAAGCTCACGAACCCCCGGCCCAACTCGCCATCATACTTGTGGGGACGGAAGAAAGAGAGGAAGAGCTTCAGAGTGGGTTGGATGCCTCTCTTGTGACACCGCACCAAGAAGCCAAAAAGACTCTCGTCGGAGTTTGAGGAAATCTGACCGGGAGGTATGGCGTAGCGGTTGCAAAGTTCGACCAAGAGGGGATGGAGAGGGAAGCGGCATCCCATCCTAACCGAGTCGTAGTGGACGACCAGTCGGCGGGAGATGTCAGGATTGCGCTCCAAAGTAGTACCCGTGGCTTCCTGGACGCCATAATCAGGAGGAATGACTCCCCTCATCTCCCCCAATTGCGCAGGAGTGATGGAGGAAGCATTCTCGTCCTCCTTGGATTTCTTGCCGCCGTTGAAGATCTTGGAAACCTTGGAGATTGTCTTCTTCATGGTGAGCGAGAGTAAAGGTCTTGGGAAGAAGAGAGGATGATTCGGTAGGGATAAAGGCAGGAGAAGTGAAGAGTTGCGTGTGAGCGTGAAGAAGAAGAGGGGAGAGGGACCGTATTTATAGAGAAAAAGAAGAGGGAGAAGAAACGGTCCACCCTCAATATCTCTTTGCAACGGTAAGAATTTTGAATGGCACCTGTTTCGAAACGGTCCAATGGCAGTGAAGGGACACCTGGAAAAGAGAATTGCAACCTTGGACTCGAGTCAGGAGCACTAACTCCAAACGGTCCACTCTGCCGATTTCCCAGATCTGCGGTCCTCTGTTGCTTTCCTTTTTCCTGTTACGGTCCGACAATCATAGATGGGTGGGGACCTTGAATTGTGCGCAGTAGAACGGCCCTACGCAGCAATTGAGGGAATTAGAGGAACTGGTCAAAAGGGATTTGGAAAAGTGGGCCATGGATACTTAAGTGGCACAGACTCCCAGCAGTCCATTCGTGCCTTTTCCCATGCACACGGTCCATGCCCAATTTATTCCTCTACAAACGGACCACCATTATTGGTGCGCAGGGACTGTTCGCATGACCAAGCAGCCATTGGACAGACCCGTGTGTGGCCACAAGCAGTTCACTCGACCAATTACACATCCTGGCCCGCAAGGACGTACTGTGGGGAATAGCATCTGGAGCGAATACAAGTTAAACTTTGGGGCCTTCCCCAATAGGAGAATCTTCGTCAGAAAATGAAAAGATGACAGAGGAAAAACTCTTCAAGGAAGCATGTGAGACTACAGTAAAAAAAAAGGGGCATGTGATGGGAACCAAGCCCATCGAGAGAGTACTGGTAAATTGGGCCTAGGCCCAGTTCGGATCCCGTCCATCAAAAGGAGCATCCGGCCCAGGTAAAATGTACCGGGCCGGTCACAGGAAGGTTGTCCGTAGAGGAAGATAGGAAAAGGAAGAGAGGTGGGGCTTAAAGATGGGCTGGAGCCAGCCCATTAAGGGTAAGCCACCCACAAAGAGAGGAATCCTATGAGAAGTTTGGGGAGTCCCCCCTTTCACTTGAAGGGACAAAGACGAGGAGAAAGAGACGGAGGAAGGACAGGAGGCAAGAGATGGATGGAAGGGTTTGTCCTCCGGTGGACGGCCTCAAGTGGAGATACACCCCCCTGGAAAGAGCAAGGCTGGCGCGGATGTTCTCCCCAATCACTGCTATTATTGTAGGAGATAACAGTTGGGAGCGCCTATAGAAGAGAGAAGGATTGAGGGATTAAGATATCGGGTAAGAAGGAGAGAAAATACTTGAGTAAATAATAAAAGATATTCTTGCGGTCCTTAAGCATATTCCGTTCCTAAGAGGACCGAATAAAAAGGAGAGGACCGCCGATTTGAGTTATTATCCAGTGAGCAGTGCTTCTATTACTATTAATTATTATTCTCGTATTATCTTTCAATATTATAAGGCCCGGATACCTATATTTGGTCCTAGGCTGATCTACAGTCCTTGGGAAAATATTGGGTATCCATCAATAATAATAATCATATTAAAAGTATATCGTTTTTAGAGTAATTGGTTGGGGAGTAGAAAGAGTTTGAAGAAAATGAGAATAGTTGGAAGAAGTTGGAAAGAACTAGAAAAAACTGAAAAGAAGTGAAAGAAATTGGAAGGAACTAGAACTAGAAGTTAAAATTTTAAGCCTTAAAGAACATACTCTTAAGGCCCCGTTCCGTTCAACTTATTTTTTCTGCTTTTTTCTTAATCTTATTAAAATCAGATCAGATCTAATCAGATCAGATCAAATCCAATCAGATCATATCAGATCTAATCAGATCAGATCAGATCTAATCAGATCTGATCAGATCCAATCAAATCAGATCAGATCAGATCTAATCAGATCAGATCAAATCCAATCAGATCTAATCAGATCAGATCAGATCTAATCAGATCTGATCAGATCCAATCAGATCTGATCAGATCCAAATAAGAATTATTATTATTATTATTGTTATTATTATTATTATTATTATTATTATTATTACTACTACTACTACTACTACTACTACTACTACTATCATTATCAATATCTTTATTACTCACTTTTTAAATTCCATATTTTTTAATTGTTTCACTTGATACGGTTCTTTTAAAAAATAAATTTAATTCTATTTAAAAAATATAAGAAGAAAGAACATGAAACTTTTTGTGTGATTATAATTTATGTAGACTAAAATAAATGATATGAAGCACAATTGTTTTCTTAAAAATGAAAAATAATAAACTTTAGAAACAAGCTAAATAGAAACCCGAGAAAGTAATCTTTAACTATTAATGAAAAATGTATTATTTCTCTGCTTAACTGCCTTAACATTGATAATATAAGGATGTGATCTTTTAATAAAAATATTAATGATTATTAATAACATTGATTATCTATATTAAATAACATTTTAGTGCATATATAAATTAAATAATTATTCTAATGTTTATATAAACTAATTATTAAAATATTAAATCAATATTATTCATTAAAAAAATCATAAAATAAAAAATATTATTACATTATAATATGAATGATTATTCTAATATATGAGTTAATTAATTTTGTTTCATTAAAAAATAATCATAAAAAAATACTCCGTATTGATTACATTATAATATGAATTATCATTACAATTTTCAATCAAATC